CCCCTCCCTTCCATTGGGTGTGCGCCTCCCTTTTAGCTGCTGGCCGAGTGTGTTTTGGATTTATTTTGTTGAATTTCTTGTTTGTGCTGTATATTTTGCTTCCCATGGGACTGGAGAGGACCACCTCCTGTCCCCCTTATTGTGTCCAGGCCCTTTGTCTTAAGTTTCCCTCCAAGGAACCTGTGGATCTAGTTTGGTGACTCTAGCCACTTCACCAGGGGCTGCTGACCGCTTCTGAAATCATGAACAATGTGTGCCCCTGGCGACTGGTGGGGCATGGCGGCAGTGGAAGCGCGGCAGTGGGAGCATGGCAGCAGTAAGCAGGGGAGCTTCCACAGGCACTGCCAGCGGGGAGATGGGAGGTGGCAAGTGCCAACCAAGGGTCAGTGACCACTCACAGCTGCTGCCAGCAGCACCTTTTTGTAGGGGGTGCACCATCATGCTCAGGGATGCACATGCACCCACATGCACCCCCTATGCATTGCCCCTGTTTGAAATGATTGGTCTGCATCATCAGTGTTCAAATAATGCCTGTTTCTGGTTGGAAGCAAGTGATGAGGTTAGAGAAGTTATTTAAGAGTCAGGGCACTTGGTCTGGGGGGCTCTCTTCCTCCAGCAGGCATCTTGGACAGACTCGAGCAGAGACCTCAGGCTGCTGACTACATGAATCAGTAAGTATGCCTGAAAACTAGTTTCATAGTTTCTAGGGTCGGAAGGGACCTGAACAGATCATCAAGTCCGACCCCCTGCCCTGGGCAGGAGCGAGTGCTGGTATCATAATACCCCAGCCAGATATCTAACCAATACCCCAGGCAGATATCTAGCCAACTAGCTAGAAAGTTAGATATGAATAATTTAGATGTGTATTAAAGGGTCACTAAACTTAATATTTGATGAAAGGTTCATTTTTGTCTGTATTGCTCAAGGTGTTTTGCTATTCTCTTGAACTTCCTCTGTTTTCTACCCAACCCCATTCTCTTTCTCTGATCAATAAAAAACTATCTGACTCAACACGCCTAGCTGTGGATGCCTGAGGGGAGAGGTGTCAGACATGTATTTCGCTCCTAGCAGCTCTTAGCTGATTATTAACTAATTCAGCCCTACCTGAGGATATCTTGGTGGGGAAGGGGCTCAAGGCTATAAGGAGCACCCAGAGATATTACCAGGGGGCAAAGCACTGTCAAGGCTGACTGGGTCTGTGTATCCTGGGCTGCACAGAGCTCTAACTGAGACCAGTGCCCGGGTGGTGGCAGTATTACCCCAGGTTTACAGGAGGTCTCCAGGAAGGGGGCAGCTGGATGTAGGCTCCCCAAGGGAGACTTCCAGAGCATGGTTTTGGGTGTGGCAAGTGAGGTGGGTGGCTCAGCAGAGTACTGCCCCCTACCGTCTCGCCACACCATCCATTTGTTGTCTATAAGGATTCTGCTCTGCAGGGTCTCTGGGTTGGGATGGGCACAGGAAGCAGTGGAGAACTTGCCTGTGGGGGCTGGAGGTGTCCCAAGTCCATGGTTCCAAGTCACTGAGTCAGTGTCTTTGAGTGTCTCACCCACCCTGCTCTGCTAAGGGTGTCCTGGAGAGTCAACTCTTGTAGCAGGGGCAGCTGCAGGTACCAACCAGCAAAAGGGAGTGTCCCTCATAGATCCAGGAAGGCATGTTCACTGGCATTCACCCTCCACCCATGTGTCATTGCATCCCCCCTCTCCATTACCTTCTTGAGCTCAAAGTCTGGTTGGACAGGGACCTCTGCCTGGGTCTCCAGCACGCAGAGCAGAGCCAGCCCAATGTTCAACAGCATGGCCTTCATCCTCACAGCGCTGCGCTCACACTGAGAATCTGCAGGTGACTTGAAGGACCACGCCAGCTTCCTCACGGTGCACAACTTTATATCCCTCTTCAGGGGGCAAGCCAAAGCCACCACCACAGTCACTTCTGACCCCCCACCAGTGGTTTGTGCAACAGGTTATGTAAGAGCACTACTGATATAATTATTCAGTGGTATTAGGTGACAGCATTAGCTGGGTTTTGTCTAATTCCTGAACCACAACTAAATGAGGGGTTCTCAGAAGCATATAACAAGGAACAATCTCCTTGGATGCTGTGAAATAGCAGCTCGGACCACAGAACTTTTGGATTTTGAGGCAGCTAAAACCCCATCAAATAGCAGAGTTATGATCCAAAAGGGAAATGCAAAGAGTCCTTTGTATGCAAGTGTAAATTAATGTTTCTCTTCTGTTCCGGGATGCCCTGAGCTAAGCAAATGCAGTATGAATGAATAGTGGTGCTGTTAGACAAACTGGCATTGTTGTCACACTGTACCCCTAGGGATAGGGTCAGTGGCAGGGATGGACCCTGGGACATTTAGTTCTAAAGTCACAGGCCTTCAGCAGAGCTCAAAGACCAGGTTTTGTTGGCTAAAGTGGTAGCAGCCGGGGCCCAGTCACCACTAGAGTGGGAGAAAGCATCCCACAAACTGGACTTCCTCAGCCCATATCTTTACTGACAGAGACCCCCCCAGCTCTGGTTTGATGTGGACATTATGGGGACTGAGGTGTTTGCACTGTGCAGAGCATTTGTACTGGGCATCTGGTGCTGAGTCACACACGCAGTACAGGTTGCCCCAACACCCAGTGAAAGGAGTCTGACCCTTAAAGTCTTTTTTTAAATTGAAGTTTGAGATGATCTTGTCACATTTAAGAAGAAACACTGAAATCATGAGAGTCCTGATGAAAATCCCAAAGCTGGCAACACTGCAGACAGGAAACAGGTCTACAGTGGGTGGGACACTCAGCATTATCCTGCATTCAGACACTGAGAGTCTCAACAGGGAGTTGATTGTGAGCAAGTCCTAACAAGACCTTCAGGAAATCCCTAGCCTGCTAGTGGATGTTGTGGAAACAGGCAGAGAGCCCAGACGTGCCCAGACAATGTGCCCAGTGCTAGCCCTGGGTGGGGACCTGCCTGCCACCTATCATCACCAACATGCAGTGGAATTCAGGAAGGAGTAGCTGGCAGGCTGGTGCCAGACAAGGAGGGCAAGAAGTGTGCAGGTCCTCTCCAGAGAAGGAAGACCTGAAGGATCAGCCACTTCCAGAGGATTTCCTGTCCTCTGGCATGAAGTGGGGAGGCCTTTGTACCACTAGAGAGAGGACATATTTCATGGCAGCAGGAGAAGCCATTGTATCTCTGAGAGGAGCTGAAGCCCCCTGGTTCTGATCCCAGCTGTGCTACCAGCCATAAATGATGGGTTCCACTTCCCCACTGGTCCCACCAGACCACGCTTTAACACTGGTGCAGAGGACATCTGATTGCCCAGGCCATACCACTGCACTGCAGCAGAGGATGGGGCAGCTGGCAGTAAAGGCCAGAGCAGTTCCAGGAGGCTGCCCTACAGGGGCCAGAATGCCCACCAGCCTCCCCCTTCCCTTCTGTCTCTGGGGTGGACTCTCTCACTCACTTACACTGGACAGGGGTTTTAGCCTTTGATTGGGGCACTTTCAGCCCAGCTTTAGCTGCAGTGACTTCCCACACCCAGTGGTTGCAGTGGTGAAGAGCTTGCTATGCTGCACTGGCAAAGGGGAAATGTGTCATGGTGTGCATCAGCCTCTGTGTCAGGGACAGCCCCACCTCATGCACTCTCATAACTCAATGGAGGGTTCTTGTCCCAGGGACAGGGTTTTGCCTGTGGCATCCCAAAAGGGTCAAAATGATCCCCTGCTTTCCATAAACCCTTCCTGACCAGTTCATAGTAGCACCATCTCCCCCTCTTTTTCCACAGCATGACTGGGGTGAGAGTGATCTTCTCTTACCATCATACTTAAGCTTCTCCAATTGCTCCCATATTTACCATCCTCTGGCCCCCTGTAAGCTGGGCTGTGGGTCCAAGTGGTTTAGGAATCTCAGCATGGCTCTAGGAGGCAGACGTGCCAAGCCTCATTCTGGCTAAGCATAGTCCCAGCCATGTTGACTGTGTCCCTCCTTGGTCCGGCAGAGGAGTCTAAGGCAGCTGGGCAGGATGGCTCCTGAAGTGCAGCTGGCTATAAAGCTGGTGTTTGCTACCAGGATAGCCTGATGGGCTGTTTAGATCAGGCAAATGTTTAACTATGTTTATCTAATAGCCAGGCAATGCTATCATCTCCACCTTACAGATGGGCCACTGAGGCACAGGGGGACTTGCCTGAGGTCACACAGAAAGTCTGTGGCAGAGCAAGAGTCCCAACCCTCCTCCCCCTGGCCTCTTAACCAGGGGACCATCCCTTTCAAGCTGAGGCAAGGATGGGAGTTTAAAAGCTGCCTATCTGGTTTCAGTGGGTAGCAGCAGCTGTAGAGCACAGGAATGCTGAGCTCTGCCACAGTGGAAGCAAGATAAAAGAGATTCACCTCTGCTGCTCTCTGCCCCCTTTGCCTGGTGATAGGTGAACCCAGGGGTGTGGAGGAGGTTTACTAGCTGGTAGGAAGGACATCGCACACTGGGACTGGCCTGAGCCCCATCCACACAGGCTGCTGAACTGAACTGTCACCCCCTGCTACTGGCTTTTGGTCACTGAGAGGCACTGGAAGCAGGACCATGGAAGTAAATGACCCCACTGTCCAGTCCTGTGGAAAATGATGGTGAAATGAAGATGTCTCTCCCAGGTGCCAGGCCGCCAGGACACAACCACAAGCATGGACTTGGCTGGCAGGGACACTAAGCCCTTGGCATCATGCGCACAACAAGACCCCCAAGCAAGGACTGAAGCAACACTCACAGCCAGGGCTGAGAGCTGAGGATCAATCCCAGAGAAGCTGTTCCTGACAAACTCGAGGCCAATACTGTATGAATCTGATGAGCTGGTCTCTCAAAGCTGCGACCATGGGAGACCCCTCAGCACCTGCAGGTCCTTGAGGAAACCAGCAAAAGAGACAAACAGCCTGGTGTTTTACATTTAGGTTTAATCAGGAGGCAGGGGGATGTTACGAAGTGCCAAGCCAGGTGGCTCACACGGCTACAGGTGCACAGAGCTGTGTTGGGGTGGGAAGGAAGGCTGGTGGGTTAGCAAGTCATTTTCTCTCTTGCAAGAAAACCTGGACCAAGTGTCTTGCTGCTTCTGCCTGGAAGGGAAATGCTGCTTAGTTTTGCCTTGACAACATTGTGCAACCCCCCAGCCCTGCACCAGCAGTGCAGCCAGCAGTCCTCCCACAGTCCAGCCAGGGCCTAGGGAGATGCTGCATGGTGACACAGGGCCTAGCTGCAAGGGCTGGATTAGTCTGTGAGCCTGAGACTAATAACAACAGAGTCCGGCTGTGTCCAGCCTGCTCCATGAAGAGAGCCCTTTCCATTCATTACAATTAGGGCCTGTCTCTGCCGTGCTCTCAGGGGCCCCTCCCAGTCCTTCCTAAGGGGTCAGCCCAGAACCCCATTGTAATTCCAGCCCAGGGAGGGGTAAATGAATGCCTTGCAAGTTGTTGCATGAGCTCAGTTGTGTGAGTGTCTGTTGAGACAGCCAGGCCATAGGGAGGTGCTGCTCCTGCTAGGACTGGGCCAAGAAGCGGCTCTCTGAAGCAGGTGACTCCCATCCTCACACGGAGGTAGGGGACAGACAAGTTCTCTGGGCAGAGGACCTAGGGGAAGAGCTGAATAGCACTGAGAGAGAAACTCTGGGAGCAGCCCTTGCTGGGGCAAAGGTTAACCTAAACATTAAGTGAATTCCTGTGTCAAAAGCAAGGCCCAAGAGAGGGTAAATCAGGACTGGCATTGCAGCAGTGGGAATGGCTTCTGCTTAGAGGCACTTTCTGAAGTCCCAGCCGGTGAAGACACCCCTGTGGTGTTGTCTTGCCAGAAACCACAAGCCCTTAAGGAAATGTCCAGCTCACCTAAACAGCAACTTCCATGCATTGATCTGGGGAGAGAAGACAGAGATCAGCTCCTGCGCACCCGCTGCGGAGACCCACCGCTCAAAACCTGCCTTGGCAGAGCCTGCCTAGCACCCCCTCATCAGTCCTCAGGACAGGGACTGTGCAGCCAGGTGTGCTGCAGGTCTCAGCCATCCCGGGTAGGCCCTGTGGCTCCAGAGTCGCACGGGGGCATAAGCCCAAAACAAAAGTGCTGTCTCTCGCTGGGAAGGGAACTAAGGGCAGCAGAAACCAATACAGGGGCCACTCTGTTGGCAAGGATTTGCCGTGATACTACAGTGGGACACAAGCAGCTAATGTCCATTTAAAGCCATGTGGGAGAAGCCTCTTCTGTGGCCATTAAAAGGGTGCACGTATTTTGGTCACAATCAACCTGAGAGTCCAGCTTAGCCTTTAATTGACAGAGTAGGAGGTTGGACAGGGCTGAGAGGCACCAGCCGAGCTGTGGGGAAGAAGAGGAGCCCAAGCTTGGACAGTGTGGGTGGCACAGGGTTGTGGATTGAGACTGAAGGGCATCAGCAATGCTGGTAGGGGCAGGAATGGTTAGTAGAGGGATTTTTGGTCAAACTTGAGGAAAATCAGCAGAGAAGAGGGTTGCAAGCTGGGATTGAAGGGTGTAGGATGGGCTGGGGGGGTGGGATGTACTGGTGTGGAGGATCTGGATGGAGGACTATTGATGAGCCCAGGGTAGGAGTGATCTGAAGGGCCGAGACAAATTATCAGGAGGGTGGGACATGTACTGGACCACAGCAGAGATCCATTTTCCATTACGGGAAGGTTGGCTGCATTGTAAAGGGGCTTGTCAGGAACTAGATACTCTGATCCTTACTACTGACCTCCTCTTTGACCTTGACCAAGTCACCTAGGGCAGACTCCTATTTCCTCTTCTGGGCTTAAATGGCATTTACCCAGATGCATAAACACCACCTTGGGCACTTCCTTATGGTTTGCCATCCTATGTCCACTGTTTGTCCAACT